GATGAAGCAAATGAAACAATCAAGGGCTGGGCAATAAACAGAAAATGTATCGAAATCCGACATTTATAAACTGTAACAGAGTGAAATTTGCTCATGTCCGTTAATACTTCCCACAAGCATTTACTGTTGGTGGGTTTCCGCTACATTCCATGCTGCATCACCCTGTCACATGTTCTCCCTCCTCACTCCACCTGCTAACCTGCACTCACTTTATACTTCAACAATAAACACCAACACTAATCAGACGTTATTAGGACACTACAGTCCTTGACGTTTACTTTGTTTTTGTTTGATTCGCACATTTTGTGCACACGCAGAACAAATGCCAGTCAGTTTGTGTGAAGAGCGACTAAGATGAGTAGGCACTCACGCAGACAGAGAGGTTCTTCCCATCCAGGGACATAAATCTGAATTCAGCGGCTTTTTAAAAAGATCAGTTCTACGTGTGAGTGATTAGAATAGAGCAGAGGAGCAGAGTCACTTGTTGACTGGTTAGGAGTAATGCGCCTCATGCGGGGGGGGGGTCAGATCATGATCAGGTGGGGGCAAAAAATAATCGTTCATCGTAATCTAGGTGAAAGTTTGAAATAACCATGATGTTGATTTTGCCATTATCACAATATTGATTGTGTTTGCCCAGCCCTAAAACAAACACAAAGCAAACTTCAAGTACTGGACGGGTCCAAATAACTTACAAGTGTTGGTGTTTATTTTTTAAGTGCCAAGTGAGCACAGGCCAACAAAGGAGTGGGGAGGGAGGACACTCCAACCGGACACTCGCTGGCATCAGCAGAATAGGTAATAATGATACCTAGCTTCCTGAGATGTAATGTGTGGAAGCATTTTGGATTCAACACCACTAATAAAAAACTTGTCCATCAGGTGCCTCAAAAAGTGACATTCAATATTAAAATCCATACTTGCATCTTAAATACCAAAACTGAGATTAACCGACTTAAATCTTCCAGGTCTTTTCACGCTACACTGTGTTACAAACATTAAAATACAGCCACTTGCATGTACAGAAGACATGAATCACTGCTGTTCTGTCAAAACAAACATTCAGGGTTTATGAGCCGTGAAACAGACAACCCAGAGGGACGTTTATAATTACCATCTTAATGAGGACCATCAGATTAATGTGATACTGAAAGTGGTTTACTCTTAAAAGATGACTAATACTCAAAGATTCTGCAACTGTATTCTACAAAGAACACCATAAAACCAATATCCATCTTAGACATGTCTAGTCTAACCTTTGAGAACATCTGATGCCCATTGAGTTGACAATGAATGCTGAATTACTGAAATGTGTGTCTGGTATTAAAGCAGCACAAGAATATTGCTATTCATAATTAAGTTCGACATTTTATCAACCAATATAAACTTGACCATCTGCCTTCTCACACTCCTGAACTTAAACTTACAACTAATGATTGATCAAGCTCCATCAGAACAAGACAAATGAATAAAGAAACATGTTCTGACAATTCAAGACGAAGATGAACAAGGCTTCACCATCAACTTCAGACACAAGCCAAACCACAAAACCTACATTGGCCACTGCATGACAACCAGAAACGGAGTCCACAGTGGCAGCAGAACAAGCTGTGCTTCTCTGAGTGTGTGGGAGCAAATTAAGCTTTAATAATTTTGTTCCATCTTCCTTGTGAAACAACCCATACTCCTACCTAAGCTGGTTAGGGATTCTCTTATCTCTTTGTAACTCTCTCCACCCCATCCTCCTGCTTCACTTTCAGTGCTTTGGGGGAGCTGGGAGAGCTGCTGAGGGAAGGGGAAACAGGTGTTATTCTCAGGTGGCATAAGGCACAGCAACACCAAAAGCACAGTAGTTCCTATAGAAACAAGAGTACAAACAAAACACAGTAATACATTTCCAGTAAGGGCTGGTATCCCTGATTTGTGTGGTCAAGCCTTTTTAAGTTTGAATTAATTCTCCTGTAATAAAAACACTCATAATAGATCAAAAATAATAATTTGTTTAAAATATCTCCAATATCTCCGCTTAATGAAATAAAACCAAATATGTAAATAGAGACTTGGTCAGTGATTGCTGATGAGCATTTTTCACTGAGAGGCTTTTAATAGGCCCACAGTGAAAGACACCAGCCACTAGTTTCTACACTGGACACGTTTTATTTTCTCTGGAGGAGGTGCACGTGTGAACACTAAAGTTCGAGCGAGAGGAACCAACAAAAATGAAAATATTTCCCAGTGAAAAAGTGGTGACATTCAGAAAACCACCGAGGATTTCAAGGGAGTTTGTGGTGATAAGAGCCGACACCAGTGTCTGTGCGTTGTCAAGAAAATCGCATTATCTATGCAGCGGAGTTACTTCCTGCCTCTGCACCACCTCTCACATTAATAATGTGGAGGATTTGATGCTGTTGTGAACGCGTCAGGTAAACTCCGGACTTCACCCGCAGGTGATGTCTGAAAACGGCTTTACAGTTCTCATGAAGCTGGACAGTATCAACCGAATCATCACGCATCAGGATTTTTTAGCAGCGGGGTCTGCTTTAGAAATTGTAGGCCGTCTACTAGGTCACCATAGAAACAGTATGTTCAACTTCAAAAGATGTTCACAGTGTCATGTCACAAAGGGTTTACAAAGAGTATCTAATCAGTGAAACTAGATTAGATTAGAAAGATTTACAATTCCATTTTTAATTTCTTTGAAACCTTCTCTAATACCCAGGCTAGGGATGTAATTAACAATAAAGACAGTTGACAGAGACTATGAATAAAAAAAATGTTTATCTTCTCAGGCCTCGTACCAGCTCTACATGGGTGTTTTGATGTCTAGTGGATCACAGGCACGGCGGGACTGACTTCTTCTGTCATTGAGTCTGACTGTGACAGACGGTCTGTGAGTTTGTGAGAGCGTGAGCAAGTGACAACGGGCAAAGAGCACTGCACAGAGCTCTAAAAAGAAACATTCAGCACCAAGTAAAGATATTTTAAGTCATGATGAGATGTCTAAAATAACGTTTGGATCATCATGAAACTGTGCCGCGGTTTTACTGGTGGGGAACACTGTGTAGCCCTATTGGTATAATTCATTCTGTTTAACTTCTTTCACAGCAGCACTACAAGAGACTGATATGTGAAACATTTATGTTGGTCTTAGCATAACCAAATACCGTATTAACTGTTAAGTTTAATGATGGCTAAGAGACAAGACTATCGGTCTACACAGGATGTATTTCATCCACATTTTTCAGTCTACTGTATCACACCTGTCTGGCAGAACAGATATGCCTTTATTTAAATCAATATAGCTGTCTACATAAACCGTTTAGTGGCCAACATTTCACTTTCGATTTACATGCGACCAAGTGTTTACCGGTGATACCAAAATATGATTGACCACAAAGCAGAACTGAGGCTGAGCACTTTTTGTAATACTTGCAAATTGATTGCATCTTGTAATACTGTAATAGCTTCAAAGATGTTTTCTTCGTGCACAAACAATTGCATTGTTGTTCTAAAGTTGGACCTGTATGAAATCAACTAGTCAGACACTCTGACACGGCTTTGAAGCAGATCAGTAGCTCATGTAAAAACTGAAATGAATGATGGCTGAAAATCAATTTGGATGCTTGGTTTCAGGGTCATGGTTTCATATTGTCACAGTCATGACTTACTGGGTCAATTGAACAGAAATCCATAATTTATGTTATTACAGACTATGTCACAGAGGCATTGATTTAACTGCAGTTGAAGGATTTAGACAGAGAGTACAAAATGTTACATTTATTTGCTTTTGTGCAGATCAGAAACCATTTAATGCAATAACCTCAAATTCTCTTCTCTGATGTTGTTTGCCAACTTTCCAGGATTTATCATTTCAACATTAACTACATTTTCCAGCACCAGCTGAGTCTACCATTCAGCACATGAATATCCCAGACTAGAAGATTTTTCAGACTGATGTGCATCACTGTGCACAAACACAACTTTGACTAAAATCCTACATGAAGTTCAGTGTAAGTGTAGACTTTTGCAGTAGATACAAAGGAAAATTAATCCCAGTCTCACTGCAGTCCACAACTTCATGACTTAAACCAGTATGAGCCAATTTATCGCTCGTGCAGTGCCAACACATAGAGCTCTGCTTGTGGTTCGGCATAGCATGGGTGTACGATATGGAAACATATAGTAAGAAGGCGATAATGCATCATGCTAACATGTTTTGGCTTGCTCTTGAATGCCCTTCCATGAACTCAACAAGATTTTCTCATTGCCTGCGTTACTTGTGAGACCACTGACTAAATACTGGTCTGACACAATGTCATTCTCAAGGCTTTACAAAAGAGAGACTTCCACACTATTTGTGCGGACAACTTCACGATATTTGTAAAAATATAGTCGTCAAACATAAAAATGCATACATTGGCCCTTCTGTCATTTTTACGAAAAATGCATACATTGGCCTTTCGGTCATTTTTAAGACTGCATACTTGAAGGATTATTTTAAATACTTTATGAAATACTTTATATATACACAAATTGTACACAAGTAATCACTTGGTACAAGTGGGATTTAAAAAACAAAGTACTCTATCAGACAGGTTGTGTGGATGAGTTTATCTGAGCTGATTTGGCTCAGTAATGGTTCCTCTCACTGGCAAATGTTGGCATAAAGTCACTGGTACCATGATGTTTGTGTTGTGTAACAGCCCATATTAGTGATTCACTTATTTCAGCTTGAATTTTGACTTTCATTAGCCACACATTCACCATTTAAATGACAATGTATCCACAATTAGTTTAAAAGATGGCATCTAGATATTTTTCACATAAAATAACAGAAGAGACTGTTCTGTTTGTGGCAGAAAACTAAATAAATATCTCAGATGTGAAATAAAATCTAAATATTCCACATCTTGCCTACAGTTTTTTCATATAGCGCAATTTTTCATGACCATGTCTTTATTCCCTGTTACCTGCCTCATCCTTTAACACTACATACTTACTTTTATAGCTTTGATTCCAGACTTGGTGATCTGAGTCATCTTGGCCTTGGAGATGGGCGGCTTGTACTCGTTGAGCGAGTACAGCTGAAAGATGAAGTGAGACAAGAGAGGACATCTTTGGTCAGACAATGAAACTAAAGCATTTAGCATGGACGTTCATTCAGGGAACACATGAACACACAGTGGTCAAAAGCAGAATCTGTTATTATTTGAGATCAGTTCATGATGATGGAGTGGGTATGTGTCTACCTCAGATTAAACAGATTTCTTAAAAACAAAATAACCACTGAGTAATTCAGTGCTCTCTATTGTGGATCATAATGTGAATTAGTCCACTGTTGTCTCTGAGAGGACATTGAGTCCAGCACTGACACCGATTATCTCATAATTTAGGCAGACTTTAATGTCACTGCAGACAAATGATGGTTGCGCTACTAGCTGTGATAGCTAGCGTCTAACCTAGCAGCCAGAACATGCTAGGCTAGCACAATACATGTCCATACTGTACATTACAGACAGTAATTCAAGCAGGCAGACAGTTCAAATTATTTGGTAGATGGAAGCCAGGAGGACATTACCCTCCGCTTCCACCTTGGCTAGCTAACTCACCAAGTTAGCGCGCAACTAAGGCGGTTTTGCTAACTTGTAGCTAGGTTGCTAATCACAGTCAGCTTAGCGGCAGACTGTTGAAAGTATTCACTCATCCACAGAAGCTAACGGTGCTTGTGTGTTAGCAAATGTTTTATTCACAGCGAGAAACGAAGCAGACACCGGCTCATTAGATCGTGAAGGCCGTGTTGTTGTGCACAGACGGCGGCCTTGTCCGAAACTGCGCCCCCCCTCGCTCTCTCTCCTGCTTTGGATGCTAACATTAGCCAACGAGCTACAGTGAGAGATAAAAATATCACACATCTACAGCTCCAAGCGTTTCTTATCATTTCACACCAACCTCATTGTTGAAGGCTTTGACGGCCTCCATGGTGAAGCGGTGCGGCTCGCAGGAAGCTGTGAGTATTTACACAGAGCTCCTCAGTAACCGGGTAGAGACGTGCATGCTCGACGTCTGCCGAGATGGAGGAGACTGCCAATATGGCGCAGGAGCCCCAGTTGGAAATCCGCAGAGGGAGCGGCGACTCCTAGCGTCTGGTTGGGGACATTACAATTCTGGGTGGTTTGAATTCATCCCCCCGTATTAATGTACTCAAAAAGCCCATAAAGATGAAGAAAAACTGAATTTGTACTTTAAAATTTTATTTAAAAAAAGTAAAAAAATGAAATCACTTTGATATTGGACGGTTTATTGTTAAGCGAAAGCGCCTTAGGCAGCGATTACAGCCATTGTCACGTCTCTTCAAGTCAGAGCACACTCACAAACCCAGCAGCTGCTGCCCCCATGCTTCACAGATGGGACGGTATTGTGCAGGTGATGAGCGGTGTCTGGTGTCCTCCAGACATGACCCTTAATACTGGTTGTCCTCCGTCTGAGAGTTTCTCCACACAGGAAATCTGTAGAGCTCAACTTGAAGGCCCATCGGGTTGATCACTACTCTTAACAAGGCCCTCCAGCTCCTGAATAACCAGCTCTGGGAAGAGTCTTAGCTGTTATTACTACATTTTAATTTATTTGTAGCCTTCCCCTGATTTACGCCTCAACACAATCCTGTCTCTGTGCTGTGCAGTCAGCTCCTTTCACTCCTGGCTTGGTTTTTTGCTCTGATGTGCATTATCAGCTGTCCCTTTACATAAACAGGTGTGTGTGTGTGTGTTTCCAAATCCTGTCCAATCAGCTAAATTCACCACAGGTGGACTCCAACTAAAATGTTGAAGCATCTCACGCCTGATGAGAGAAATGTCAAGCACCTGATCTAAATTCTTGGCATCTGAATACTGGTATTTATATTTCTTCTTTTAAAGGTCCCGTGTGTAAGATTTAGGTGAAAGGGAACTATTGGAAGAAATCTTCTGTAGAATAATCCTCATGATGTTTTCACGAGTTTGTTTCATCTAAATTGTATGAATTGTAGTTGTCTTTACCCTTTATATTCAAATACTTTATATTTACATCGAGGGTCCCCTCTTCGGAGGCCGCCATTTTTTTTTACATTAGTCCAGACTGGACAAACTAAACACCTTTTCAGTTTTTATGACAACTGAAGGATACCACAGGTTCTTTTTCATGTTTAGAAGGGGAGGGTGAGGTGAGGGGTGTTCAGCTGCAACATGCAATTTCAACACTAGACATCACAAAATTCTACACACTGTACCTTTAATAGATTTGCAAAAATCAGGTTCAAGTCCAATTTTTGCATAAATCCGGAACATAAAAGTCAAAATACTTGAATACTGACACATACAACCATTACAGCATGAATCTTAATAAAGCCACAGTGGAAAACATTCACTCTTGTAACTGTTTATTTCTCTATATACAAACAATCAGACTGACTTTCATACCAGAACAAATATTAAAAAGAATGAACATCCATTTACAGTTATTTACACAGTTAATGTTTAATGTGCACGACAGATGAATGCATCTCTTGTGCCTGGAGCTTGGTTCTGGCTCCTGCCAGAGAACTATGCTTGGTCTGAGCTTCCTGAACCAGTTGCTCTGTGGAGCTGTGACTGGGCTTATTCACATAATACCTGTTACTGTACGACCTCCTAATCTTCTGCTTAGCTGTAAATATACAGGGTTTGGGTTTGTTGGCCCAAGCAGACTATTTATCACAATTTTCAGTTTTTTTTCCTGAGATTTATCCACCATGTATCCTATGTTTTCCTGCTTTAAATCTAATACACTTGGCACCAGTTAGTATTTAAGTCTTTATCACCATATTATTGTCAATGCATGTTAGTCATTAAAGTTGGGATTGTTCATTTAAAATAGTTTGTGTAGGCTTTCCTACTTTAAATGAGGAGCTCCATTTGTAAAGTATGATAATGTAATGTTGAACAACACACACTGATCATTCAAAACTCAAGTGACACAGCAGTGAAGGTGCATGGCACCAATAAGAGACAAAAAAGATTAAAACATGTTCACTACTGATGAAATTAAATCAGAAAGAAACCAAACAAGTGTTTTCCATGCAACAACGGATCCATTATTTCAACGTACTCCATTATTCCAAATAGAAACAACATATTCATAGGTTCACAGATTTACATTTTAAAAACAGACGACGGTGAAATTAGCTAATCGCACAAGTCAAAAGATAAAAGTAATATGAAAAACACATTTCACTGTGAACTGATGTTCAGTTATTGTTTCCATTTAAAAACTAACAACACATTTCTTCATTGATCCAGTTACTTGTTGAACAGCACTGACAGCCCACTGATATGGAACAGTAGTCTCAATTGAAAACATCAGTGTGTGCATGTTTGTGTGTGTGTGCGAGTCTGGAATCAGTAGAAACAGTCATGAGGAGTCTTTATAAACTAGTCTCCACCACTGGAGCAGCACTGACTGATGCTGCAGCTTTTGTGGCCTCTGGCGCCACCTGTTGGTCCAGGTTTACACAGATCTCCTGCACCAAGGGCCTGTTGGCCTCCTTCCACTCTCTGAACTTGTGCGAGGTGAGCTCCTGGTCTGACAGCACCTGCTGGATAACCTGTAGGTCCGCTTCCTTCGACTGGGACAGAGGAGAAGAGCGCAAAGACAAGGTCGATTATTTTGCTAACAGTGCTGATCAGAGATAGCAATAGAAAAACAGCAGAAAAAAACAGGAAAAGTACCTTTAACGTGCTGTTGAGTGTCCTGATGAGGTGCAGTTTATCGTTGATGGTATGGTTTTTACAGCGTTTTACGAAGGAGGCCCTGAATTCCCTTTTTGTGGAGGGCTTGCGATCTCCTATTGGCGACAGGCTGGCCTGTTTTAGATGAATGTACAGCCTCTCCATCTCATCGGAGCTGTTCCCATGATCCCCTGCAAAAAGGTGACACCGTGTCATCATCATAAGCACCACAAAGATGATACAAAGATGAGTCACAGACAAAATGCAATGCTATGAAGAGGACAGGGTACATTAGTGGTTGGTGATAAAAAATCAACCGATGTGAGCCTTCCATAGACTCTTCAGCGTTTACGTTGCACCTAATGAAAACTTTTAATTTACAGAATACATTTTTTTGGCTGAAATGATGTGCCTCTATGATTAGATTTTATGTAAAACCTATTTTCTTAATTCAAGTTCCATATATATGGTCATATTTGTGTATTCGTTTTTATTTATAACTAGAAATAAATCCAGTAGCGCTCATACCTCTGCCAAGGCCCAACAAGCCTTTAGCAAAGGCCACATTATGTCTCTCAGCTACAGGTAGTTACAGGTTTCTAACTCCATACAGTGGCTAAGACACGGCGTTTAAATCCAGATAAGTCAGATAGTTTTTTGGGTTCCGCATGAAATTTCACACACTCATCGTTACCAACACTCATCAAGATTCACACATGATTCTCTGAGAAATCAATGAAATGTTAAGTAAAAGTTAAATGAAGGGAATGTCAGGTCAGATTTTCAAAGTATTAAAAACCACAACCAAGTCTTACCTTCATCTTGAGCAGCTGAAACCTCCTGTGCCTCCCCCTCCGCAGCAGTGCTTTCCTCATCAGAGGCCACGTCTGAAGGGCCCCTGTGAGCTGAACTCTCCATCACCTGAGGGCCTCCCTCTACCTCCTCCCCCTGCTCCTCCGCCTCCTCTCCTGGAAGCTGCTGCTGCTGCTGCGAGTGTACCTGAGCCGAGCACACCACGGCCGTTTCCCCAGCGGGAGGAGACGCCTGCGAGACCAGGTCCAGCCAGGACTGCCGGTGCTTGGCGAGAGAAGAGGCGGAGCTCTGCGACGTCATCGTGCTGACGGGCGACGAGAGGGAACAGTTGGCTTCGCTGGGGACTGCGGAGGAGTAAGGGGGAGGGAGGGTACCCTGGAAGACAAGCACATCAGGGTCAGACATGATAATCTAACAGAGATTAAAACTAACTTTTCTAATTGACAAAGGCAGTTTTATTACATTTGGAAATGAATAAGTTATGTACTTTTAACACAAAACTGACCACAGTGAGCATACTATGACAAATGATTGGCTCCTGTGTAGTTGTGACCGGTGGTGCAGTGTTGAAGCCAGAGATAGTGACTGACCTGATGTGTGCTACCAGGCGGTGCAGGTGCATCCACAGAGTCCCGCAGCGTCTGTTCAGAGTATGGTGGAGGGGGGATCTCTGTGCTTTCAGCCTCTTCGTGGTCACTGGCCTCACTGTAACACTCTACACAACCAGATGTGTGTGTGTGTGTGGGGAGGACACACAAAGTTAGAAATCACAAAAAGACATATTTCAACAAAAAATCCAAAGGAAATTTTGTATATATTTTTGATTTCAGCCTTAAAATAACCAGAAAAGATCGGTACTGTTGTTGTTTTAAAACTTTAAATAAATAACAAGGTTGAGAATTTTGATGTATTAAGTTCACTTGGGTAAAGAATTCTCAATTATATTAAAAAAAACAACTTAAGATTTTAAAGAATTTTTATTCTGTTAAAAATGAGAATATTTTAGATATAGGGAGCTTTCCCAACTCACCGGCTGCAGGGGTTTGTTCTGTGGGCTCGTACTTAATGGAGGCTAACCCAAGCTTATTCAACCATCTGAAATAATAAAAAATATTTAAACTCAATTACCTTCCTGACCAAACAATAAATAAAAAAAGGGATGTTGTACTTTTGTATTTGACTTACAAGTTCATCTCCTCGTGGCTCTCGGCAGCAAAATAGAACATCATGACCTGTGGGTGACAGGCCTTGAACGCACTGCAGGAGGAAAAGTGAGTGAAGAGCAGTTAAGACAGGATCAGAAATTCAGAAGTTCAGTTTGTCACAATGAACAATATGCAGTTGGGTGTTACTGGTAATGGATGACAGTTAAGCCCTAACTTTGGAACAGTTTACTTTTTACCTCTCTGTAGACAAATCTAATGTCAAACTAAAGACCCACATGTTCCCTCTGGCTACACTTAGATGTTTTTTGAATACATTTTTAGCCTTTTATTCTAATATATTTAATTTAATTATTTTTCTTTCTTGTATTTCTCTGTTTTTATTCATTATACAGCACTTTGGTCAGCTCTGGTTGTTTTAAATGTCTTTTAGAAATAAACTTGAGTTGACTTTTTGAGTTTTTATAACTAATAACTATTTAAATTCTAGTATTAGAAACAGTGCAATAGGATTAGAAAATAAAAAATAGCTGCTTGTGTGATTATTTTTTAGATTACTCTCCTTATCACTGCGTGTAGGAACAGTTTCTATATTGTAATGTAATAGATAGAGTTCCTTTTTATTGAGAACACGAGGAGTGGGTGGCTTATAAAATCCGATAAACCAGGAAGAGAAGAGAGAAGCAAGTGTGATCTTACTGTTTCTTTTTGCACTCTATGGCTCTGTCAATCATGAAGTTGGTGAGGTCAATGTAGCCTTCGGCTTTCTCTGCCTGCAACACACAGATTAAACAATGATTATTTCAAACCACTTCCTGAAAACGACCAGTCCTTATGTTGCAGTCGACGACTGCTTCTCTTTTCACAGTGCCATGGTGACATACAGTAGATATGACAGACGTCATCATGCCAGTAAATCAAACATGTCAGTAACGTTTGCTTGCACAAGGGCCTGATGGGGCATGAGTGACGCGGTCAGATTCAAGAAATGGTGACATGGTTTTTGTGGTTCCTGCAGTAACAAGTGTGCGGGGTGACAGCTGTGAAAAAAACATGTGTATGACTCGCATGCAGCCTCCAGCAAACTGTGTGCCAAAGAAAATATTCCTCTCGTCGATACATCATTTTTTCCATCATTTTTTTGAATTTTGAAAAATTACAGACAGTTAGTTTGGATGCTTGTAATTATAAACTCATCAACAAACCAAAGTGAATCCTAACTATTCAGAACCACACAGTTACAGTACGACTTTGTTTAATATTTAAACATTGCTTAAGCTATGTTTTAACCTATGGACTCGAAAACAGCTGCTTTTTCAAATGTTCAATCAAAATGTCAATAGTGGATAAACTTGAATGATACCAAACTGTCCAAGGCCAAAGAAAAAGGTATAGGTCACTAATTGAAAACCCTCCTTTTTTTCATAAGTAAAGATATTGGTTAACTTATAGTCTTCCTGCTGAAATGGAGGTAAATGAAGCACTGAAAGGTAATGCAAGCAATTTCTGTAAAAACCCTGTGTCTGTTTCAAAGCAATGTGTGAAAAGGTCACATATCAAGGAAAGTAGTTTGTCAGGGCTTCATCCTACAGAAGGATAATGACCCAAAACATGCAAATAACCAGAAGAACTAGCAGAGGCTTCATATGATTGAAGAGCAGCACAGACTCGTCTACAGACTAAACCTCATGGAGCCGGTCTGGGATGAAATGAACAGAAGACGAAAGCAAAGCAAACTAGTGGAAGTGAAAGAAATGTATTGAAACTTCTGCTTCTCTAAATAGCAGAGCAGGGAGTGTGTTCGACTGCTGAATGAGACAAAAATGTACATTCAATTTAGAATGTGCCATTTGAAAATTACAATTTTCTTGCGTTACGAAAAGATTAATTATTTGTTTCTATTTCTTTTCTATGCTTAATTTTCAGAGACACAGACATTAAAGCCTGTAAGTGATAAGTGATAGAGCAATAGAGTGAGAAATAGACTGACAGATAGACAGAGAAAGAGAGAGAGCGATAGAGAGAGAAATAGAGATAGATAGAGTGATAGAGCAATAGAAAGAGCAATAGAGAAATAGAGCAATAGATAGATAGACAGACAGACAGACAGACAGACAGACAGACAGACAGACAGAGACAGAGAGTGAATGGTTTGTAAGAACCAGTGGTTAAGGGAGAGAAACGAACAATGTATTTCCAAGTAACTTGTGTTCCAGGTAACAAGTAGTTTGTAGTTTGTGGTCTTCTCACATGATTGTCTCAGACACCGGTTGACTCTACTTGTTGTCTACACCATAAGAGAGAGGACACTCACCAGCTGGTTGTTGTACCAGTAGAGCGCCGTCTTCTTCAGCGCGAACCAGTATTTCTTCCATTTCATGCCCAGGAAGCCTTTACTCTCTTTCTTTCTGTACAGCCAGCCCTGGTGGTCTGGGTGACCCAGCTCTTTGACCGAGATCCGTCTTCTGCTCATTGTGCCATTCCCTACACAGAAAGAAATACACATACACATGAATGCACGGAAAAAGATAAAAATGTTGCCTTAGAGGAAACAAGTAGTATGAAATCCCACACGACAACCTACTTTTTCTTATTACAGATCCACAAGCCATAATAATATTAACATACAAATTCAAGTTTTCTCCCCAGAAGAACACAAGCTGCAGCCACACTGAGCAGAAATAGAGCTGAAGTGAAACTAAAGCCCCCTGCACACACTAATTGCCCTTCCACTTTGCACACGCCCCCACAGAGGGGCCAAAATTATAGTCGTGGGCATGCAAAGTGACAGCTCACCTCCTCGGCTCTTCTTCTTGGATTTGTGTCGCAGGGAGACCTGTGGGGGGGACCGCAGAGGACAATATGAGGTTGCAGAGAAGAAGAACACCTCGGACCTGACAGCTGTGAGGACGAGGCTGGGTGGAACATCCTGTTTCAGGCGTTCACATTCACATTCTCCTTGCTGTTTTCTCTATTTCTCTTTTTACACACACACACAAACACACTCACTCTCCAACATCCTCATCTGTGACTCTCTGTCTTTTGCTTTATCTCCCTTTTGCTTGTTAAACTATAAAGAGAAAATAACTTTTTCATGTTCATGCTTTCAGAGAAGCAGAAGTGGCTGCACCAATGAAAAGCAGTCAGGTTTCTGTGCGGTAGAACAAGTCGACCTCTGACTTTATAAAACCGCACAGAAAAAGCAGAAGAGACACTCACAGGGTTGTAGTCGTCGGCAGCCATAGACTGAGATACAGATATGGGGAAGGCAGCCTGTTGAAAGAAAAGAGAAGACAGAATAATCAGTCTGACTGACTCATGTGGGTTGATGAGGTTACCACCTACAGATACATGTTCAGAAAATGAGCAGTTTGTTGCTCCAGCGTGATGATAGGAAGTGACATCATGGGCAGGAACAATGTTTCTCAATTTGATTATTTTACAACCCTTTCCATTCAAGAGGATGCAAAAGTGATTTGAAATAAGGCAGAATTAGCAACTGGAAACTGAGTCCATGTTGACGAGCAGCACTATGTCAGCGGTTTATTCTGCCCAATGACAAATACAACAAGTACCAGTGGTGGAGGAAGTATTCAAACATTACATACTTAATGTACTCAAGTAAAACTAAATGCATCACATTCACTTTTCTACTTGAATAAAAGTAGGTACGTGCTCCCACTGAGTGGACCGATTCCCCTTGTGTATTTGATTACTTTTACAAAGATACAAAAATAGAATTGCACTCAGTAGAGCACCATCATCGAGGACCACAGCCATACCCTACTTAAACCACCTCGATATGAACTAGATTGAGGTTGTTATTTGAAACTGTACAAGTGAAAAAAACCATCTGCAGCCTGATCTTGAGCCACACAAAAAATTGAATGGGTTCTTCTCTGTGTTGTGAGCTTCCCCTGAGCACAATTACATGAAAATCGGTTGAACAAGTTTTGCGTAATCCTGCAAACAAACGAACAAACAAACAGACGAAAATGTAGCCTTGTTGGCTGAAGTAACAAGGTGCATGTCCCACAATGCATTGTAAAAATGTAGTTGAGTAGAAAGTAAAGATATTTGCTGATTTGTTGCAGAGTAAAAGTGACAATTAATTGAAACTAAATCTATTTAAGTACAGGTACATGGAAAAATGTAGTACAGCAACAAAGTAAATGTACTTTATTACATCCAATCACTGATAGTACCTACAGATATCTGATTCTTCAGCAGTGTGAACACCTCGCACTCATTTTAGCAGCACAGACAAGTAAAAAGAATTATAACATTTTATCATTTCATATTTTGCTAAATGAACAGTGTCACAAAAGAAATTGAGAAATCCAAGTTGCCATTATTGTTTAACTTCCTCTGCTGACTTTGTTCCTTATTTGTAAAGTCACAAAGCTGCCTGAGAGAGACAAAGGGCAACACACACACACACACACACACACACACACACACACAGCAAGTTTTTGCTACTATCAATCACAATCAATCAAAAAATTAATTGGGGTATGAGTTTATAGGAAAACTGTTTCAACCACACGTCACGTATACCTCAGTGTGGATTCGTAATCTCTCCCACGGTTTTCTCACAACCTCGACAAGCATTGTCAGATTGAGTGACACACACACACACACACACACACACACACACACACACACACACACACACACACACACACAGCCAGAGGAAATGTCGAAGCACAGGTGGTCGTCAGGTCAACAGAGTCTTGTGGCTGCTGCTGCAGTTGTTCGCCTTCACTCACCCACAAACTCAACATCTACTAAGCTCCACAGCGAAAACAGGAAAGAAAGACTCGTACCTGGTTCTTTTTCAAAACTTCACAGCCTCACTTCACTTCAGGCCCCAAACCCCTTTGAACTGAGTCTCTGCGATTTCAGACAGCTCACACACACACACACACACACACAATGACAAGCAGGCAGCTCCTATCTCAATTACACTTCTGTGCATCTGTGTGTGTGTGTGTGTCTCCTGTCTTGCTCAACACAAATGACTGGTGGTGGATGATGATCACCACATTAACCTCAGCATAAGTGTGACTGTGATGGTGACTGTGTGTTTCGCAACTCACTTCCTGCTTTTCTCTGCCGAAATAAGGTGCAAAGTGTTGTGTTAGTTTAGTTTCATTTACAGTGATGTGTCTAATATTAACATGTTCTCTTTTTAAGACAGGTAACATTAAAATTCCACTGGTCCATGCAACCACATTTTATCTTATATTCCATATCCATCTATTTTTTGTAACTTTTCCAGACACAAGGAAACTAAAGTAGCTCCTCAGAAGGGAAATAACAATTGGAGCATGGGGATTTGTTTGTGGGTGTTAAGAATTTATAAAGATAAATAAATGCCTAATTTCTTTAGTAAACATTAGAATATATGTAATTTGATAAAATACATTTACTGTACCTTCCACCATAACCTTAAAGTCAGGAGCTTGTCTCGACAGCTCTGCTCAAAGTCTGACCAAACCTTGGTGAACATGTGGCTTTTAAAAACAAAGCAGAAACTCAAGTCGACAAGTTTCAGGTGAGCTGACGTCAGAGCGGGTGTGCTGCCCCCTACTGATACTACCGAAACTTACAGCGAGGAAAACATGTAGTTCAACTTTTATTTTATGTCAGATTTAGCCTTTTGTGACACTGTGCATCCTGGTCATTTTAGTTAAACGAAATAAAATAAAATAAAATAAAGTAACTGCAATGACCACTAGTGTCCCTGCTATGAAGCTGCCATATAAGAGCCAGATACATTCAGAGGACAGAACAAACTCAGGGTTTCATTTACTTTGTTTAGGGTAAAAACTTAGTGTTTGTGTTTGATTCATTTACACAAGGTTGGTAGTGTTATGTTTTTAAATTATAAATGTAAATCTTAGGTTCCAAACCGTCAGGACCAGGATTTCTCTGTATGATGCCCTCTGTCGTCACTTCAAGGAAAGTAACATCCACACTCTCAGTGTAAAAATATATATTTTTAAGGTTCTTTTAGTATTTCACATCTTAGCAAAATTTATCAGACAATTCTTTTCTCCAGAAAACTCTTGCAATGGCCAAGCATGACCGCCAAGTGTCGCTAAAGCGCCTCCTATGTAACTGCCATATTGTGAGTCACCACAGACAGTGAACGTCCAGTGTGTGTTTTATAAAGGGGGAAAAGTGGTTTGTTTTTCAATAACTTAAACTCTCAACTCTCAAACTTCTCAATTAGCCAGAAAACACATCATAATATACACAAAATTAAAAATAAAATAATAAATATATTCAAAGAAATAAAAAGGTTTTGCATTTTAATAGCATTTGTGTACTTATATTTAGAAATCAGATGTATATATTGTGCAACTTCTCTAACGAAAATAACAAAATCATTTTTTTTTACTACTTAATTTACTTTCATGGATAAATAAACACATTTTACCAAAAAGGATTATAAGGTTAAAATAAAAAATCTATCTTTCTTCTTTCTTTGGTTTTCGAAAAACATTTTCCCACAATAAAACATTGTCAATGAGAAATCTATTTCTAAAGCCACCACTTCAAATAATCACAGAGAGCGCCCTCTACACTCAACAACACGCAGCTACTGTTGCAGTGTTGAAAGGCCAGGACCCAGCCAGACGAGTGTGACCACTGCATATTTTCTTATTATCTCTTTGAGAAAATATATATGGGTTTGTCTTCGGAAAGAAGGAGAAAAATAAGTGTTTCACGTTACAGAATCCGCTCATGAGCTCAGGGACGCTGCGGCCTGGCTGTCAACACCCTAAGCTGTCTCCTTGAGGAGCTCGGTTTGCAGCCATAACATCTCGAGCTGCAGCTGAACTGAGATGCTGCCTGGATGTCCTGGCCTGCGCCTGATGGCTGTGAACCCGCAGACACATTCCTCAGTCCTGCGTTATTATAGTCTCTGTTTCATTTTCGACTCAAATAGACAGGGGCCTCCTCTCGCTTCCCACTTGCTATTGTACTACAGAGAGCAGAGGTGACCCCTCCTCCCTTTATATCTTTCCCATTCTCACACCATTGCTTCCTCTTTGCCTCCCCTCCCATTTGTCCCCATATCTTGCTCATCCATATCAAGTGGCTTCCTTGTGTTGCCCCACCAAAACCCCCCATACCCAAATCCTCACCCTTTAACATTTCAATTAAGCACATTGAATTAAGTGAAACATTTCCACCTAATTTACTTTCTGCTTGTTTCTGTGTTAAGGGGGAAAAAAGCCTCAGCACGCCACTTCAGGGTGCGTTTTGGTGGAAGTGAGGTAATCTCGCCTGCGACTCGTGTCAAAGGCCTGAACGATTCGTGGGAATGCGGATTGGTCACACCATTGTGGTGCTCAATCTCCCATCATGATCCATGCTGAGAATTGTCATGGCACTTAGCTAGTGTCCTCCCCCACCGACCCAGAAACTTTGTGGGTGTGTGTGTGTGTGTGTGTGTGTGTGAGAGAGGAAGAGGAGGGCGTTGGGGGGGGCAAACAGAGTGGCTATTATTTAGCAGGGGAATCTCTCAAAGAGTAAAGGGGGAAGGGTGCAGGGCTGGGGATGATATCAGATTCAGGAGGATGGAGCCTCATGCCCTCCCTCTGCTGATGGTGGTAACTGTTGCACTGCCGCTGGTCATCACCTCACGTTGGATTTTGCCACATGTCATCATTTAAGCTCTGAATGCAGTTTTAAATGTGAGTAAATGTGGATCTGATTTGAAATGAATTAGCTCTCTCCTGTGCAATACAACAAAAGCAATAAAATACTCCCTTCGCTCCATTTCTGTCGTGTTGACATCAAGGTCAAGGTTTTCTTGTCTGGTGCCACAACAACAAGTCACCACTGGGCCATAAATCTGAACCAGTCTGATTGGTTCACTTGCCACAGTTGACTAGGGCTCAATCCATCTGACCCTTAGGGAGCTGCGTGGTCTGAGGGATTGACACAAGCTTATGGTTCTGTAGTGTACGGTCTGTATGTTAAGACAGGAAAGCAGCCCTTTAGTTTACCCCTGTGGTCAGTCCATTTCCACATCTGCCATAGCTAAAAGGTGCTGGATCAATTTCCCGCTTACAGCACAGTCAACGAGAAAACTAGAATGGCAGCCAGTAGAGCACATACCTCCACCAAGGGCAAAACAATCCTACACATGATTGTCTAGTTTGTACGTTGGAAATATAAGAGAAAAAAGGAAAATGTCAGATGACCTAAATTATTTATTATTAAAATAGTCCTAAACGGCGTAGAATCAAGATCTGTCCCGCATATGTTGAAAAACACCTTACGTTGCAGTGTTAGTGGAAGTGAATCCTGGATCTGTCATGAAAACATAACCTCCTTTGCAGAGATAACAAAAGAGAAACAGCCTTCAGCCAGGAAGTTTCAGTTCTTGAAAAATTCACATGACCACCATTTCAAGGTAGAGTGAGCTGGTACACGAGTTGCTGACCGATGGCTTTTAAACCAATGAACATTATTTTACAATCAGCTCTAAATAGTAACTTTTACTGTGAACCTTTCAAATGATTCACTGTTGCATCTCTTACAAGCACTCTACACTACTGTTAGTCGATAGAGATGCTTCTACGATTAACATGCATTTGTTTTGAATTATTTATGTGCCTGTTACACCTGATCCTTTGTTCTTTGTTATCATGCAGACATTGGAGAGACGTGTCAGAATCCTGTTTAAACTCTCCAAACACATGAAGGCAAGACATTTTGATCACAGCGTTTTTGCCACTGAAACACATGAATACAGCAGAGTCGGACTCCACACCTCGGAGGAGCAGCTTGAGAAGTAGTTTGATAATACACTGACTTGGTATAGAGGGAATCTGATCAGGTGCAATCTCCTATGAGAACAAGTGAGTAACTGACGGATAGTCGCAGCTTAAACTCTCAAAATCAGGTCCAGCAGGTTCAAGAGTAAAGCCGAACTATAGATAAGTTAAAAACCACAGTTAATCTCCAATAATCAACAAAGAAACTTAAAATATGAAGAATTCTAAACAGAGTTTGGTGTATTTGTTACAGCAGGAAGCTGTTCACCCGGCTTCCGGAAGCAGAAGAGCTTCCGGGTAATATCGGTTAAGTGGTTCTCTACATGAAAACCAGTTAACATACATAGTGTTGCTTTAACACAAGTTAAAACTGGACCTTAAACTGGTAGTGTTCATAGGGCTATTTGATCATCAACTAAAAACACTGAGAATATTAAAAAATCAAAGCAAAAAAGAACATTTTGGTGTGAGTGTGTGATTGTGATTGTGTGTGTGTGTGTGTGTGTGTGTGTGTGTGTGTGAGAGAGGGATACATGATGTCATATGTCACTGTGTGATGTAATGGGCCTGCAACTGAAGCTCTCGATTTCACCTCCTCCTGCCGAGACTGAGGCCAGTGTGGCATTCCTCACATTGCACGTGTGTATACAGATGCCGTCACAGACTGAATGATTGCATGCACTTCACGTTCATGTCAGTGGGACCTGACAGTTACTTACTGCCTGAGAGAAGGACCAGGATCGTATATGCGGCTGATTATACCTGTAGAAACACAGAAGTCGACAAATTAATGGCTTGTAACTATTCACTCAAACTGCCGTCGAGCAGGGTTTCACAGTCATGTCGTCTTGTCCACTTCTCTGAATCAGACAACAGCGTCTCTTGAAATTCTTTCCGACACATAACTCACCGCTTTCAAACTCATTCGCAACCGTTCATTATCTTCATCTACGTTCCAATCCGACTCACTTTGATTTGGCCTGAACAAAACAGATCCCGTGGCGACTTACTGTTAAAGGGTTGGCATTTAGTCGCCAGTGGTTCTGATAATACTTTTGGCAACCAGCCACAGCAGCAGCATGGGAAGACAGGAAGCTTGTTCCCAATGCTCAAAATACTGCATTTACCTCAGCCGGGGCCTCACCCTGCAATTTCAGGGTATGAAATTGTCTATGGCTAGTTTTTCCTGCCTCTCGATTGCTGACATTTTTCTCCTCCTCCTGTCATCCATAAATCTTCACGTCTTTGTCTCCTCTGTTAAATTACTAGTCTGCTGAAGGAAATGCTGATCA